TCAGAATATTGGGTTTACGAGGTTTTAATCATCCCAGCTTTCTAATTACGATCTTGGGGAATTCTCTGTGTGTACGTTAGGTACTATATACGCCCACAAAATTACAAACGACAAAACGGATCATCACAACTGAACAACAACTAAACTAGTTTTGGTAACTTGGTTTGTGTAACTATATATGTATAGTAATACACATTATACATTATACATAGATAAATGACGTATTTTTCCAAATACGACGATGGTTTTTTTTCCTCCCAAATGTTCGTTTGATGTGGATACCACTAATCGTGTTTTAACAGTGTGACGTAACGCGTACGGACGTATTGTATCCACCAGACCATCAGCTAACTAAATCTTATTATTGTCCAACACGTGGAAATATATGACACTCATGTCGTGTATTTATATTAAACAGAATGCAAATTATTAGCGTGTAAAGCCGCCAAGCTTTTATTGCTTTTTGACATAACTTATTGAAGTTGTAAAAATAAAAATTTTTTTTCTCATTTAAAAACAAGGTAACACACAATCTAAACAAAGTTGTACAATAAGATTATACGATAAAAGCAAGTATGTAACAATGAGACAAAAAACATGAGGGCAGAAATGTTTCCATCATTGGTGAGTGGTGAGTGATGGCCCTGCCTGATATTGATTCATTTAACATTTTGATATCGAACTAGGTACATTTTTCGTGCATCGCTCTCGTGTTCACTGCACATATTATTATACTTGGTGTTATATCGCACTGTATAATAATAATAAAATAGTGACGTTTACCCGTCTATTAGATGTATTAAAGTGTATATAATATGTGTATATTATACGTGTATCCCAAATAATATGACACAATTGCAGATTGACCTTTTAAATCATTTTGAGACCTTCTATATTACTATGTCAATAAATGAAAATTTTGTATAAGCCAAAGGCGAGGAAACGGAAATGTATAATAGATTATAGAGATTGTAAGTGGTAAGGCAAATAGGTAGGTTGGAAAAAGTACAATGTTTTTTTTTTAATACCGATGTCATGGTTAAAATTAGTACGAAAAAAAATCAAAGATTTAATCAACTACTGTAGATATTGTCATTTGCCATTGGTATAAATGTATAATATATTTTTGGGTGGAACTATGTAATAACAATACTGCAATAGCAGTAGTATTATAAACGTAATAGGAAATGGGTCAGATTATACAATGTTTATTTTATTTTTTTAGATCAATGGTTGCTGTTTGAATACAATATTACTATTGTAAGGTTTACCTGTGCTAGATGGTAATTGGTAGCTATATGTTATATGGTTTAATACTGATACCACAAATTTAAGCAAACCCGTTATATGCCATATCTTATAAATTACCATTACAAACGTTTTACTGCGAACATAAAATGTTGTCCAACATGCGATCACCATGTCAGGCACTCGTCCCACTTCTTTTACCTCTGTAAAAATAATTTTAAATTTTAACCTGACGATTATCAACATTTGCAAAACTTATTTTTATTTCTTCACAATTCTATGAAAAACTACTAGACAATTAAAAAGAAATTATTTGCTTTCTGTAAATCGAGTAAAATATTATATGAGCATTTAATAGTTAATATTTAGAATTATACGAAATGAAACCTATTGGTAAAGCTTATTTATTAGTCCAACACGCTTTTTAGAAAAACATGTTAAAGAAAGTTCTTTATTAACTGCAACAAAAATGTTACTCTACTTTCTGTCGTATTTTTTAAAATTAATAATAATCATTTTTTAATAGAAAGGTTTAATTAGTCAACGGTAATTAAGTTAGTATTACAAATATAAGCCCAAAATACTCAGCAATAAGTACATTAAACATTTAAGCATAAATAACATTCATAATTTTCATGTAAAGTTAGTTACAAATAGGTAGGTACTTAAGTACCTATGTATCTATCACAGTTATAAATGCACTAGATTTATCAACATTTAGATATTCCAAAGTCTGTTACAGCGTTGTAGATTTTTAGCATTGTTAAACTGAAATAGATACACATAATTGATTTTTTATAGGTATTGGTTCCAGCGTTTTGTGAACCCGTTTTATTATATTCCAATTATCGAATGTAAAAATAAAATTAAAGTTTAATTATTATGCACTGGTTTTCATCCAAATCCATATAATATACACTAAATGTATATCGCATAATAAATAACAGTTTTCTAACGATACTCTTCACTCGAGCAGTTAAGCCTAAATATTAACTTGGTTAATTATTATCAATCTTTGATGGCAAATTGTTTTGAAATAAGTCTTATGTTTATCGTTAATACTGACTATACTATTATAATCATTTCTAAATGTATGCAAACAATATAATTCGTCACCTTCTATTTTTACATCGTAAAAATAAGTTGGCAAACTTAGATAATATAGTTTCTCTAATCCTTTACAGAATAAAATAATATATTCTAGCTTATGATTTATAAAGTATGTATTTAAAAGGGGCGAGGGAATTGTTGTATCTGATATTTAATATTACTCATTACATAATAAGTAATATTTTCCAGAACCATCGATTTGGAAATATTATGCAATCTTTACAACATGGAAAAATGTATTTCCGTTCGATTAAGACAAATACCACGTTTCACATAGGTAATACACATTTGTATGCAAACAATGATCACTTATTATATTACGGAAAATGTGATGTAAGTTTGAGTTATCGAATGCAATTGGCAGTGATCAAATAGGTTAAAATAATAATTAATTGATGTGATGAGAATAAAAAGTGTTATTTTAAAAGTGTGTTGTGATATCGTTGCTCATAGTAATAAATTGAAAAGGTACTCAAGAATGTAGTAATGTTAACTTATGTCCCCCAATTACATTTTTGAATAAAATCATGTTTGAATAGGTACATCCGTAACTGCAGTTAAATTACATAATGTTATTATAGTCCATCAGATTAGTGATGGATTTATGTTTTTTTTTTTATTTTTAACTCGCTGTATCAAATTATGAGATGCTATACTTCAATATTATTCAATATATTATTTAATCGTACACATTTCAATGCAATTTCGAGTAAATTATAATCGTAAATTAGGAACCGTTAAAATGCGTTTTTTATTTAAAGGAAAAAAATACGAGTGTACTTGACGATATCATTATAATTATATCTACTGTACCAAACTGGTAACGGATCACTGAATCAGTTAATAAGTGTGTAAGACCTGCATTTGATTCTCGAGTGATTGAAAACGATTTTAATAACTTATAGATAAGACAATATACATGTCAACAGCTAACACATTAATCATAGAAATTCAACTGTAAATAACTCACGCCGTTGTGAATATACCTATGTGTAAGGTTGGCTAATAGGTACACTCGCGGTTTTGTTATTCGACAGGCACAATATTATAATATAAGCTAGACTATAATAATTATTATGTAAAAATTAAACAGGTTATTTCTTATTATTCAATACAAAAAAAAACATCGTTTTTTAAATGTGATCACAATATTGTATTGTCTTAAAAATCAATATAACACTATTCACAACAGACCACTAATTCAGCGCCTACATGAATGGAACGATTTGAGTGTTTAACAATTATAGGTCTCGTGCCCACGATGAGATACAGGAATTATTTAAATAAAAATTATCGAAAGTATGTCCCCGAATCGCATACAAAATTTGTTAAATACACGTAGATTGTTTGAAACAGTTTTAAATTTTAATCGTATCGGAAAAGTATATGCTAATAATAGTTGTAGTATAAAATCAATACGTGGGTAAAATAAAAATAAAATAATAAAAGCTACTTAATAATTCTAATAATATTATACAACAAAGTTAAATGTACATTATGCTTTATTTTTAATTTTGTTTGTAATACAATACGTAAAAATGGACTTTTGGACATTTAAACATTCTAACATAATAAAGGATGAGTATTTCTGTTAAACGTCAATACGACACGACTCTGGAAGTCACTATATCTAATCGAACTACTAAATCGATGTATCTCTACAAAGTTAAATGGATCGCCTCCTACGCCGTAAGCAAAACGTGTTATCAAATATAAATGACAGTAGGTATCTTAAAAGAGAATAATTTTTACAATAGTTAAAAAAAAAATAATAAACCTATTCAATGGGACAGTTAGGTATGTTTATTTTATTAATCGACCAAGTATGCAATTCAAAGTATTTAGATGTACATTAAGTTGTATTATAGTATCTATTTAATTCAGCAATTACAGAAAATATGTAAAATATAATTGTGTGGACAAATGCGAATAAATATAAACCTATTATTTAAAAACCCTATTATAGTAATTTTATCTCTGGTGCAATTTTTTTTTTTAATTTGTCAACATTTTCAAATTGTTTAGTTGTTACAAAGTATATAATTTTCAATTTTAAAAGCAAAGGTGTAAATTACTAGCTATAGCTTAGGTACTTTAGCTTAAATTTTCATATTGTTTCCATTTTATGCAAATTACATAACACGATAGACTTAAAAATGTAAACATATTATAGTATGATAAATATGCATCCTTTCTTCAATATTCAATCAGTCAACCATTGTCATGATGTTGACAATAATGGTGATATGATAATAATATGCTGCATGGTATAGGAAAATATAAAATTGTTTTCAATACTACATCAAATTCATAGCTGTATACTACTATTTAATATTAAGTTGTTAATATATGAGAGAGAATTAAAAAGTACACATTTATTTGTAGATCCTAATTGAAGACTGTGTCATGATTGTCCATGAATTGTAATAGTTGGAACTTGAGACAGAGAAATAAATAAATTACTAATACGAAGTTTCAATAAAAAAAATAACAAAATATATTATGTTTATAATATAAATGATATAATCAAGCCTTTAATAACATAATATAATGTATGTTGTGTCATTATTCAAAATTCAAAATTCAAAAATGTAATTATAGCATAAAAATTACTATCTTGAAAATAAAATCATAAATAAACCTACTGACCATGTTATTACATATGACATTAAAAGCAGTAATTAGTATAGTGATAACTATTATTGTTACACCGGTAATTATGGTTTCTATAATTTGAACTTATCAAAACTGTGAGGGATAATTAAAATAGCAGTTTTTAATGTAAAAAATCGTTTAAAATATAGACTTGATATAAAATAAATTAATATACCCATAGATGTCCCATTGGAACATATGAGTATGTATGTAGGTACGTTTATTAAAATGTATACACACTATCCGTAAACAGAAATGTTCAACGTCCTTTTTCTATTTCATTTTTAATCCAGTAGACGAAACCGGCGACGTTAACATAAGCCGCTGGTATATCTGCCAAACCGCAACTGATACCCCAAGCCACGATACCAACTTGAGCTAAACGATCTGGATAATCTTTGTAAGGGCACATTAATGGACTGCCACCATCACCCTGCACACAACACAGGTAATATTGATTAAATTAGTCGAACGATTAAATTATGTTGAAAGACAAATTATAAGATTCAAAAGACATTCTGACTAAAGCTAGTTGATAGCTTCAAAATAAATATAAACAATATTATAACTAAAATAATGTCATATTTTGTAAAATTAATTAAAAGGGGGGATTTATTGGCTATACTTTTAAACACATAAAAAATAATATTAAAATAACTAATTATTAAGAAGATTTTTGTTTTGTTTTTTTGTTTTGAAGATAGTTTATAACAATAATATTATAATAATATGTTGTCCTGAAATATGATAATCAACTACCTAGGCCTTCATATTTAAAATGTATAGTTTAAATTTAAATTTATTTGTAGGTTCTTTAGGTTGTATTGATTTAGCCAACTCACAAATATTTGAAATATTTACATTCCCGATTATTTAGTCTCTTCGGTCACAATTTAAAGTAAATAGAATATGTTATCTTACTTTACACGTGTCTTTCCCTTCGACGCCGCCGGCACATATGAAACTATCGTGCAATACGAATTTTGGACCAAGTCTAGTGGCCCTGAGAGCGTCCATACATTTATTCCGAGGAACAATCGGAAGATCAACCTTTTTTAATATACTGACTTCGTATTGACCTGTTTCTCCTACAAGAAAAATTATTAAATTTATTATTGTCATTTTTTTATCAATCTTATTGACATACTAGTTTTTCCCGATTCTGTTTTCTTAACAATAGTATAGTTATTGTAAGAAACAGTTTTACCCCAACCACTTGAATAACACTTATCATCAATAAAAATATCTTGTGTCGAAGGTAAGCATATAGGTTGGATGTTTTCTTGAAAAGAAAATGAGCTATCGGTGAAAATTAAGGCCACATCATTATAAATTCCATTTGCGCTATAATCAGGATGAGTAACAATTTTGGATACTCTACGATCTTGATGTGGAAATATTTCTTTTTCTGTTTTTAAGTCCCATTCACCTGCACGAACGACCAAAGTCGAGATATCTTCCCTGAAAAAATGAATATTAACATATAATTCTTAAATCATTTCAACATTCAACAAACATGACTTGATAATACATAAATGGGCTGATTAGTAATTTATGTTACAAAAATATTGATGATTTCATAAGTGGTATTTAAGTTGTAATTTAACTGTATAATTAATAAGAGTTAAACAATTACTTTATCACACAATGAGAGGCTGTTAAAATGACGTCTTTCTCGATTATCGAACCCCCGCAATGCAACACAAGTTTTTTTTCGCCGTCTTTCGATAGTTCTTCTTTAAATATTGCCACCATTGATGGAAATTCACCAAACTCTGATTCATTATCAATTGCATCTCCAATTCTGAAACCAATTCCATTTTTATTCCAAGTACCACATTGATGTTGGTTCATTGGTGTTGGTTCATTAGAGATTTGGTCGGGTTCTGTCGTAATTATACTATTTTCAGGAGTAATGTATTTGTCTGTCACTATGTTTGAATGATCTGTCGATGGATCTTTAGTAAGCTCAGATTGATTGTCAAACGGCTTCTTAGTAGAATCATCGGTCGGGCAAATGCATGGTTCTTTAGTATATCCTTCTTTTGGCCCATCAGATGGCTTTAGTAGAATCTCCTTTTTGACCGTAGTATGGCTTCTCAGTATATTCTTCTTTTGGCCCATCAGATGGATTTTTAGTAGAATCATCTATTTGGCCTTCAGATGGAATTTTATTGTTATCTTCAATATGGCTAACATTTGGCTCTTTAGTAAAATCTCCTTTTTGTTTAACGTATGGTTCTTTAGTAGAATTATCTGTTTGGCCATCAGATGGATTATTATTAGAAATATCTGTTAGGCCGTCAGATGGATTCTTAGTAGAATTATCGATTTGGCTGTCAGATTTATTTGTAATGTTTTCTTCATTATGGTTAACATTTGGTTCTTTAGTAAAATCTCCTTTTTGATCAACGGATGGTTCTTTAGTAGAATTATCTGTTTGGCCGTCAGATGGATTCTTGGTATTATCTTCACTATTGCTAACATTTGGTTCTGTAGAAAAATCTCCTTTTTGGTCAACAAATGGTTCTTTAGTAAATTCTTCTTTTTGGCCACCAACTGGAATCTTAGTGGAATCATCTGTTTGGCCGTCAGACGGGTTGTTAGTAATGGCTATTTGGTCAATACTAGGTTCTTTGCTAGAATCTTCGGGGCTAGAGTTTTCGGTTGAATTAATTTTTGCATCATTGCAACAAATATCCAAATAACTTTGACACGGAGCTGCGTTTATTCTGAAATGTAAAAATATTAATATTTTGAATAGACATTTAATTATACTAAAATGTTCATATTATTGATAATAAAAATAATATTTTAATATACGATTATTTAGGAAAAAAATCTTCAAAAATCTTATCCATTTTAAAACATTAAAAGTTTATTATTTTATGTTATAGACATTTTAAATTTACCCGGAAAATTTGGTTCTATCAGGGACAATTTGAACCACGAATATAAACAAATTATTTTTTGTGCAATATTTTTTATAAAATATATCATCCTCCAGCCTTCCATTCAGGGAAGTGACGTCACACTCTTGTGTGTTGTCTCCGTCTTACAAATGCGTAGCAAATTTACGCTCAGCAGACACTTTTAATTCCATTAGTTTCAAAATTAGAGTGAATTGATTTAGTATGAAGCTTAATGGTAAGATTTTAAAAACATTATCTGTGTCCATCTGTTGGTTTTATACGATACTTCAATTTTAAACAAGTTTTCAAGTTCAGAACATTTTTAATTTAAGCTGTATTATACACACATAACTTGCTAAAAAATTGAACTATCATAGCAAACCAACTTATGAAAACAGATAATATTTTTTAGAATAATGAATTCCAATAGACGAGTACATTTTACGATGTCTGGAGTATTTAGAAAATAAGAGTTTGGATCATGAATAAAATGAGACATGATTCTCCGAATTTGTGAATTTCAAGTAAAATGTATAAAACTAAAATTAAATATAGTCAAGAATATCAATGTTATAAATTAAAATGTATAGGTGTAGAACAAGACAATATCTTAAAAACTAGATACTAACTTTTGTTTTTTTAAATTTTAAAATTAATTAGAATACAATTAATTAATAATTACTTATTACATAGATAATATATATTTTCTTACCGTTACACTAGCCACTAATTATGTAGGTATGTAATATCATATTATAATAATTCTAAAAACATAATATTGCATTCTACAAGTTTTTTACCAGAAGAATTATAAATTATTATGAAAAAAATATTTAGATACTCCATATTCTATTTCCATAGTATAATAAACCAGGCATATACACATAAGATACAACTGAAAAAACTTTAAATCAGCATATAATATTATATTGGTACATAGAAAATTAAAGACCATCAGTGTTGTGCTCACAGCGGTGATTGGTGAGGGTGTCATACCCTTTGGCTTATTTTTGTCATATAAAATTTATGATGAAGCAATGAATGTATATATAACTGAGAATGATAAAGAATTCATATCCTATCCCATTTCAAAGAAATCTGAGCACGCCACTGACGACCATATCTGTATTCTATATTTTATAATTTAAACATAACTGTGTAATTTATTGAAAAATAAAAATGTCAATACGTTCATAGTTTTACACAAAGACCTTAACAATATTGCTTTATTGTTGAAATTGAGATAGAAATATGAATTATGAATTATGATCTCCTTATTTTAGCGTCTTACCTTATATTAATAAGTGCGTGGCCTTCGTAGTCCGGTACATGGCTTTTGCACATATGATAAGGTGTGCAGATACAATCTTGATCATCATTTTCATCTGATAGTGTTGAAGTCTCCAAAATGGTCGTTGGATTGAGCCCCGCCGAGGACTGTATATCATATGCCGGGTAGCCGTCTACTTTTGGTTGTGGAATAGATATTTGTGCAATTGCCGACGACAAAACGATTCCGACAATAAAAATCAAACCAAAAATATGTATGGTGTAATTCTGTGAACCAAGATCAAATACTATAATAATAAAGTCGGTCAAATGTAAGGAAATAATATGATACCAATCTTAATAAGCTTTCGATAAGACATCTACATTATTTTTTTACTACTTAAATTGTAATATTACGAAAGTATGTTTAATTTACAAAATAAATTATCCAACCACCCCAACTTTGATGTAGGGATTTTATTCGCTAGTTATTTTAAAATGTATTTAAACAAAATACAACTCAACTACTATATTTTTACCTACTTTAAAAAGTATTATATCAAATACATTATTCACAATGAACTTACCATGACTAACGCAATTTGTGCAGTAAAAAATTATTTATTTCTATGTTATAATTATTGATAGACTAACAACAATGAAATTTATCAACAAAATGCGTTTTTTATTTGTCTAATAGATAATATAATTTATATGAATCTGTTTAAAAATCATTTTCACGCACACGAAATTCCTAACCACTTGCTTCCATTGCTTCCTCATCAACAATAAGCTTGATGGTAATATAATGTGCACATTTTATAAGATTTTATATTATATTCATAACCTGAAGTCCTTGAATCCAGTTTTTAAGTTGTACACAGCGTATTTTTTTCAGAATTCAGAATTCTTTCTACGTCATGGGTTAATTGATGAATTGGATGCTATATACCAGTTTTTTTCCGTCTAACACCTCAGACATCAAAACATGATTTTTATTGCAGAACATAAAATGTGTGCAATTATTATGTACCGTTCTGTTGTAAATTAGGTGTCGTAGGGTCACTGTGGATGAATTAAATTTGAATTCAATGATATAAAATCATTTTCGAATGTATCTAAACGATTCTGAGGGAAGACAGTCTGTCAGCCCATATTACTATACGTATTATATGAAATATTAATATTGCTATTAAAGTAATTTATTTTACTAATAGTGTATTACTATTTAGTACCCATTATACCTGTAACCTATGTAGATGGTTGAATTAAATTTTGCCAAACACTTGCATTTGTAAATGTCATTATGATATTAATGTGGGCATTAAATATAATGATATACTTCAAATGTTTCAATTTTTTTTCACAGCCCGAGTGCATCTGTAATTTTTCGATAAATTAGGTACATTGAATTGCCTGAGTGCGTCCATCGGTCGGCTGCGAAAGCTTATAAATGAAAGAACTTAAGATGGACTTAATCATTGGTAACTTGCAGAAAAATACTAAATTAACTGGAACACAGTGGGGCTACGTGAAATACTTGATATTGTTTCTCGGGACGCACTAGGAAAGTATATGATGGCCATTCTAATCGCACTCGGAAAACTCTCATTTATTCAGTTCTTATATTATATACATTTACGTATATACTATATAGTATATACACTCACTTCATTCATTTTCATTTATTTTAAGCTGTCGCTTAATAATACGTATGCGATATAAAAATATAATTTGATTTATTTTTCTATCATAAATATTGTATTTTTTTATAATTTAAAATTTATCATCACCCGACGTTCTATTCCCACTATTTGTACCTCATATAATAATCTTAATCGAATAAAAATATAATTCCGGACGAGAAGGCTAAGGTACAAGAATGATTTATAAGAAATATGTAAAAACTCAATGAGTGCAGGAAGGTCGATGATCTGTCCGAATGAAGTTCTTCTAAAATGAAAATGGCACAACGACCCCTGCTACTAGACAGTATACGTTAAACGGATTATTAAATTAGTAGTGTAGACAAAGACATGATATACAAAATATGATAATGTGTCCAAAATATTATGATAATAATACATACGTGTATATTATAATATATTAACGAGTCCTGGTGTAATTTTAGGTTATTATTATAGTGGTTTTATTTTATTATTCTAAATTGTGTTTTTTTTTATTGTTAAGATGTTGTGATTAGATATGTACATATCAAATAATAATAATATGTAACTAATTTATGAGAACTGCTGGACTGGTTTATCAATTTTTTCCTTAAATGTTCATCACAGTACGAATAAGGTTTTTTGAAGAAAAAATGGAAAAGTTTTCCTGAAAATTGAAAAATTAGGGAAAAATGAAAGAGCTGTTTTGAAAGCATTTCATCATCCTCTCTTTTTATTTTGTATTTAATCCAACTCACAGAGCTGGAAACGGCACTGATACCCCTAGAGTAGATACCAACTTGAACTAAATGATATTTTTCATCTTTGAGCCTGCACATTAACGGACAGCCGCCAACATCTTGCACAAAAAAGATTATTCAGTTAGTGAAAAAATTTTTAAATACCATATGTGTACATATTTGTCTAACAAGTTACAATAATATTCGAACAACTTAATAGTCAGTTGTAAATATAAAATTAAAAATCTCTGTAAATGGATCCATTTTTAGTTTACAGGTCTACAGATGCTACAAGTAAAAATAGTAAGTGTTCTAGAAGAAAAAAAGTACTATCAGAACACAGAAACAAGCTGAATGCCAATAATTATTTAAATTCTTCTTATGCAAGAGTTATAGTACACAGCTATGATAAGTATCCAATGATAAATCATCTCATTAGTCATTAAAAAAATATTCTGAGTAAAACTGGAAGATTGCTATAAAATAAATATAAACAGTATTATCACAACAATATTGTAATTTGTACATTTAGTTAATATAGCAAGTTATATTTCTCATAAAAAAATATTGTAAAAACGTATGTATTATTTTTAATTTAATCTTAAATGTATATGATATCGGGTTGTATTGATTCGGCTTACTAAAACTAACAAAACATATTTACTTTCCAATATGACAAGTCTGCAATTTTAAGTATTTAGGTGTATATTAAGTTGCATTATAGCACTTTTTTCTGCAATTTATTCAAAAAAGTAGGCCTGTATTTATGGAAGGTCAGGGGGAGCAATTTTCCCAACAAAAAAACTTAGGATATACTACATTTTTATGAGTTTTTTTGTATTTAAAATTAAAATTTAGTTTAACGTAATGGGTAATAAATTACGTAAGTATTATTTTATCAATTTGTTTTTAGAAATTTAAAACAGGGAAAAGTAGATTGCCATTTTTCTAAACAGTAGGTGTCAGGAGTAGCTAGGTAATCATTGAGTAAGTCAGTAAGGTAAATGGAAAATTTGAATTCAGTGGTAAATAATTGTTGCATAGTGCATACGGTAAACGAATTTGAGCTTAGACTGTCTGCCAAGTATATTTTATTGCTATACAAATAACACATTTCGATAGATTGAATTTAACACATTTTTACAAATTGTCTATAGAGTTCCATTATACCACTTTCGTCATAGCGAAGTTAACTAAAAGGTAGGTACAATTGATACTTAATAAATAAATACTTAATATACACAATTTTAGTCTTATTTTAGTAATTTGTAATAATAAAACTGTTGTTTTAGGTATAAATAACTTATGGAAATTAAAAAAATATATTATATAATACAGAAATTATTAATTAATAGATTCGTTAATTTCGTATAACATGGTTAGGTTTGAAATGGAAATAACACTTGTCCTTATTATAGTTTATATTTTATGAAAACTGTATAGTTTAATAGACTTTAAAGTTTAAGCATATATCATGATAAAATACATATTCCCCTTACTTAAATCTAATTACACTTACTCAATCATTGTCAGGATGCAGGAATTGGGGCCAAAACAACATGACAAAAATGAAAACAATATGCCTTATAGTACAGGGAAATAGAGCATTGTGTCCAACAGGCAACAGTCAACACTATATCAAATTCATAGTTCTACTTAATATTTACTAGTTAGTACATAAAAGAAAATTATAAATTATACATTAATTTAGAACTTAAATGAAAATTATGTCACGATTGTCTGTGATTTATTAAGTTGACACTTACTTCAGACAAATTGTGTGAAAAGATGTTATAGGTAGAACTAATTCAAAGTTTCAACAAAATAACATGTTATGCTAATAATTATTAAAATTTTATAAGCAACCCTTTAAGGATTTAATATATTTTGTTTTTGTATATTAGATATGTTGTGTCAACGTGTAATTGGCCACATGACTTCCTAAACAAATAATGTTCTAAAAAAACAAGCTATACAAATCAAATCAAGTTGAAGTAGCGTTATTGGAGGCCTCCTTCACTCAAACCGTCAAGCCTTGTACGTTGTTTTATACAATAAATATTACTTATTGCCTTTGATCATAAATTTTAAATATTAAATAAAAAAAATGTATGTATTATATCATAATATTCAACGTTTAAATTTTAAAAAAGTAATTATAAGACTTCAAAGGGCTTATTAGTAGAATCTCCTTTTTGGCAATTGCATGGTTCTGTAGTGTAACCTCCTATTTGACCTTCAAATGGCTTCTTAGCAGATTCATCTTTTTGACCGACGGATGGCTTTTTAGTTACTTTTTTGTCACCGAAAAGCTCTAAAGTTAATTCTGTAAGAAAAAGATTCGTGTCTTCGCTGTAATCTTCTGAGCCAATACATTTGCAGTTACTATCTATAGTATCAGGGCTACTTGACTTATATTTTTCGGTCGAAGTAATTTTAGTATCATTGCAACAAATGTCCATATCATTTTGACACGGAGCTGAGTTAATGCTGAAATAAAAATGTCATATTTATTGTAATAATATTCTACGATTAGGTATTTATGCAGTTTAAAAAACTGAAATTGTGTTTTAATAATTAATTTACATTCATAATACTTACAATTCAGGAAGATTTTAATTTTATATATACTTAATTATATGAATAAATAAATGTTTTAGGTTCTCATATCTTAAAAGACAACTGACAAGTAACTTTGACATTTATGAAGTATTTTGAAAATACGAAAAATATAAAAATATGTTATCATGTTGAATTAAAATTAACACAAATATATGTTTACTCAATATGTGAAAATAGCTTACTTATGATTAATGATTATATCATAGGTGTAGAGCAAGATCGAGACGATATCGTAAAAATTATATTACTTATAGCGTATAGGCAATAATATAATTATTACTTTTAGTTGACTTGAGAAATGAAACACTTGAAAGTATGTTTGGTTGCATGAAAAGTAGACACATTTAAAACGATTCAAAATAATGTAATGGGCCACATAAGATTATGTTTAAATTATCATCACATATTGTTCATATACCTAGCATTTATATCCTAAATGGTAAAGGTGGTGTACAGAATATATGATAAATAAAGGACAAATCATAAATATAATTTTAACTACATATTATATTATAACCGAAACAACTTTTGTACTTATTTTGATAGAAATTGATTAGAATAAAAGTTATTAGTTAAACGTTATACATAGATTTTTAATTACATACATATGCCAATTTAGACTACCTATTAAAATAGGTACCTATGCACATACATTACATTATATAGTTTCTCTGGTTGGCATAATGTATAAATTATTTTTATTTATACTGTAAGAATATAATCATGAGGTGCCGTAAAAGGGCGACTTCCCCTTCCCGTTAATAAACTCTCATCAAATGTACCCATTGTATAACTTGTAAATACCGATTGTAAGTGTACTAAATTTAATTCAATTAAAAAAAATAGATGCATATATAGTAGTGCATTATAATTTAAAATACAAGTTCAGTATCTCTAAAAATATGCGAAAAACATTTGGGTAGGTGCTTATTAGGTGGTATTTATTTTAAGAGTATCACGGATCGTGCGTATAAGTATACAACTGACCAAAATTGTAAATCAGGGTGTTAAAGTAATCTGAGCATATTCATAATAAATCTTATAATTAAAAAGTTGTACTGAGGAATGAGCATATAACATTAACGACGCAAGGTTAATAGATTGAGCTGTTTGCAATCTAAGTTTTATAATTTAAATTACTGTTAAAAATAAAATGAATTGAAAAATAAAAATATTTTTTTTCATTCATCAATTAATCAATTGTTCATATTACGACAAGTATTAGAAGTAGGTAATTTTATTATTTTACCGATGAAAGTATAACATGGTATTTACCGTTTTACCTTAAATTACGACGTTTGTTGACTTCTACAGTCCAATTATAGCTTTTGCACATATAATAAGGTGTGCAGATACATTTTTCATCTCTATTTTTATCCGGCAGTGTTGTAGTCTTCAAAACGGTCGTTGATTTGAGCGCCGTCGAAGACTGCAATTCAGATTCCAAGTTGCCGACAGCTGTTGGTTGTGTAATAGATTTTTGTCGGATTGTCGATGATAAAACCACTGTGGCAAGTAAAACCAAACCAAAAATATGCATGGTGTAATTCTGTGAACCGTGATCAAATAATATTATTGTTTCGGTTATAATATAATATCAGTCATCTAATCATCCTAACTTTGGTATAGTAGTACAATTCGCTAATTTTTTTTATTGAATTTAAATTAATCATAGTGAAACCTGTCCTGATGAAAACATTTTATATCACACATTTTTCTTGAACTAATAAGATATGGTAATAACCACGAAAAAAGAATAAAATAATAGGTAGGCCTTTTCTTTAACGGAACGTTTTGATTGTCCCGTGACTCTCCGTTATGTACAGGTTTCACTGAACGAGACCAATACTTTATTCGTAATTACCTACTAAAAATGTATTTAATTATAAGTTATGTTTTTCACCGTTTACTTACAATAACCAACGTAATTTGTGCAATATAAAATAGATAAATATCAATAATATACTAATTGGAACACAAAAATCAAATTTTTCTATAATGTACTTTTATTTGTTTAAAAAATAATATTACCTACTTATATAAATGTCTATAGAAAATCGTTTTCACGCACATGAAATTTGTAACCACTTGTTGCTGTTTGTGCTTCTGTATCAACAACAAGATCTTAATTAATGATATTATATGCACTTGCCGCTTATTTTAATATTTGATGTGCCTATTCATTATCCACCTGAAATCCTTGATCCAGTTTTTTAGTTTTAAACAGCGCTTTTTTTTTTGTTCAAATTTCCACATTAATTATTGACCAAATACATTGTATTTAAAAATTTCATAGTGTATAAAATATAATAATACACATACGATAAATTGTGTCCAAATTTTAATTTAAAATGTCTATAAAATATGGGTAGTGTTTAAATTTTCAAACTTTTTTGATTACAGTATAAAAATCTCATGAGGATGTTTGTATTAAATTTGCAACCTTTGGCTATTAAAATTAAATATTTTATAAATTTTACTACACTATTCTTTGTACATTTTAAGAGAGTCTTATCAATATTTAGACCCCAGAGCTCATAAAAAAAATAATGTCAATGAACCATTTTTTTTTTTAATTAGCTATACTAGAACTTATACGAAATCTTGTAAGTATTTAATTGTTAAGGTTTTCAAAGCAACACAATTGTTTTCATGAATATATCTATACATATAAAATTAAAGTTAAAAAATAAAAAATAAAAAATGTCTATTAATAGCTCAAAATGGGATGCAATGTATTTAAAACAATACTATGTATGGAAAATACCAATATACATATTTGCGAAAAATTTCAAATATTAACGCTTGTTCATTTTTGAGTTACAACAAAATAAAAAAATCGGTTGATGAAAAATCGTTATTTCGCGCGTAAACAACCAATTTCGTTGTATTTTTTTTACATCAGGAGCTCTAAAAAATTATTTGTTGAATAAAAATCAATGTAATTGTTTAATTTAAATCATAGAAACATATGAGGCACCTTGTATTAAATCAATATTAGACATGAATATTCAAAGTTGCAGTATGTATTGCCATGAAATAATTTTAGATGCTGTACATCGTATTGTGATTAAGTATTTTCGTTTCTTTTTAATTCGTATATAGACAACTAATAAAAAACTGTGTATTAAATGTTCAAGGTTTTAATAAACATTTTTTGATCGGTATTTTAAAAAAAAATCGAAAATGCCAACTGTCCATATTATATAAATACAAAGAGTCGAAATGTATCGATATAAATATATGAGTATATATTATATAAGCTGTGAGCTACGTGAGACACATATAAAATTATCAATTAATTATATATATTACATACTTTCCATTGAATCTACATTTTACATACAAGTGTCTTGGTGTATGGTGTATTTGATCAAATTCTAGAATACGTGACCTCGAGAGCCTTCCGAACACCTGGAGGACGGCAATAGCATAATTTTAAAATATTTTGTATCTGAGAACATTCTCTAGTACTTAGATGTATTATGCGTAGTGATCACCCTGGTCTTTTTTCAACCTTAACACAACTTAACTTTAACTTATATCTGAATTATTGATTCTTTTACGTTATTACAGTATAATACTATTATATTAGTTATTGGACTATAAGTTTGCATAATATATAATTGTTTTTACGCGTCCTGCGGGTATCATTTAAGATAATTTAGTTGTTTAGTTTTATTACGTATTCTAAATGGTCTGAGATTATTCTAAAATGAAGTAATATTCTGGATCTAATATGTATATTATGTAAAAGTTATGTGAGTTTGTTTTAATACACTTACCATGATTTTTGTAGCTATTTTTCTATAGATGAAACTGATGTAAGCTGAGTACGGTGTATGAGACAGACGATGATGCTGGGAACACACTGATTGTAATATCGAAATTGGGTTCTCCTTATATCATTGATCAGTCGCACTTGTTGTTGTTTATTTAGAAAGGTACATAGGTAGGTACAAAATGTGTTATTGTTGACGCACATTTTTTCACATTAATTACAATGAATAAGTGTTAATAATCTTAAGTGTTTTACATATTATACATAATTTCGGTTATAGTAAAGTATATGGTACAGTTATTTTATTAGGTTTAAGAGTTTAATTTAATGTTAACATTATGATATAATTTATGAAGTCTTATGGAGTAATAATGTGAATATCATTATTCGTTACAATACATTAGAATTACTATTAGACATCCAAGCATTGAGCATCTATAATAAATTACATGAATTACTAATTCTAAATTTAAATTTAAAAAACCAAAATAAGTATGTCTAATTCATTTAGACGCCAGGAAATTGCAAAATAAACGAAAACTAATTAGTTGATCAACATTATCAACACATTAAATTATGCCTAATTAAATGAGATTTGTTTTAAGTAAAAGTAGTTTAACTTACTGTATTAGGTAGGTACTTATAGAAAAATAAATTACCAACAGCAACAAAAATACATTATAAAACATCCTTAGAAATATATTCTGACACCAAACCGTCTCCTCTTAGAATAGTTTTTTGTTTACATTCTCTGATTTATCATTAATTTCAGTGGTTTTTTTACCTGTAAAAACCAGACCAAAAACCAAAAAAAATATTCAATATTATAACATAGAATCGAATATTGAAACGTAAATTTTATTTAAACTGCAGGGCAGAAACAATAGATTCCAGCTTTCTGAAATGGAAAACTTGTCATTATGATAGTTCATATTTTTTGAAAATTCCATAATTTAACTAACTTAAAAGCTTAGGCATATAATATGATAAATATGCATTCCTTATTTCATTCTAGTTAAACTCGATCATTGTCATAATGCTGGTAATGGTTACCTGATATTGATATGCCACATGGTCCAGGAAAATCGAATATACATATTATAGTACCAAACACTACATCAAATTCATGGTTCTAATTAGTATTTCCTAGTGAATACACGAAAGAAAGTGATAAATTAATAAATCATATATTTATTTACTTATTATATCAAAATGATTGATCGTGGATTGTAATAGTTGAGACTGGAGATAAATTAATAAATATAGATTGCATACCATTAATTTAAAGTTTTAAAAAACAAAATCAACAACATAATAGTAAACTCATAATGTAAATTTAATAATATCATATATTTTGCGTAAGCATGTTGTGTCATAATTCAACATTTAAACATTAAAAATGTAATTATAACATAAAGATTACAATCTTGAAAATAAAATTATAAATATAAGTACCAGAGTACCACTGAATATGTCAATGCATATTAATATATTCCTACCGATTATCATTGCACGGTAGTGATGATTTCTTTAATTTTATGTTATCAAAACTATGATAACTGAACTACCAATAATGAATGTATAAAATCTAAATATACCTGATATAAAAAAAAATAAATATTTCGATAGAAAATTCCATTTCAACATATTGGTGGATGTAAGCGCCTTTTATAGGATCCATACACACTATATGTAAACAGACATGTTCAATATCCTCTATTTTCTATTTCGTTATTGATCCAATGCATGAAACCGGCGACGTTAACATAAGCTGCGGGTATATCTGCCAAACCGCAACTGACACCCCAGGCCACGATACCAACTTGCACCAAACGATCTGGCTCATCTTTGTACGGGCACATTAATGGACTGCCACCATCGCCCTACACACACATAGGTATTCTTAGGTTAGTCAGTTGAAAGATTTTAGAATATAATATTTATTATATTAATGTTGTAGTTCTTGGAATAAAAAATATTTATTACAACTTTATTATTCATAACATCATTTAAATGTCAAAATATATTATAAAAACATTATATTATTTAAATATATGATAAATGATAAATTATCGAAGTCAAAAAGATATTCTGATTAAAACTATCAATAGTTTTTAAATAAATAATTCGGTCACAATCCAAACTAAATAAATGTTTAAAGATTATCTTACTCTACAAGTGTCTTTCCCTTCGATGCCACCCGCACATATGAAACTATCGTGCAATACGAATTTTGGTCCAAGTCTAGTGGCCCTGAGAGCGGCCATGCATTTATCCCGAGGAACAATCGGAAGATCAACCTTTTTCAATATACTAACTTGGTATTGGCCAGTTTCTTCTACAAAATAAAGTATTAAATTTATTGAAGTCATTTTTTTTTATCAAGTTTATCCACGTACTAGTTTTTCCCGATTCTGTTTTCTTAACAATAGTATAGTTATTGTAAGAAACAGTTTTACCCCAACCACTTGAGTAACACGTGTCTTTTATAATAATATCATCTATCGATGGTAAGCATATGAGTTGGATGTTATCCTGTAAAGAAAACGAATTTTCGACGAAAATTAAAGCCACATCATTATAAAGTCCTCCTGAGTAATAATCAGGATGAGTAACAACTTTTGTTACTCTACGATCTTGGTGGTTAAGTATTTCTTTTTCTGTTTTTAGGTCCCATTCACCTGCACGAACGACCAAAGTTGAAATATCTTTCCTAAAAAAAACTAGAATTAAAACATCAATTTTGGAAAAAATCTGCAATCATAACTTAATAATATATAAGCGAGCTGATTAGCATTTCATGTTACAAAAGTACTATAGATTTCATAAGAATTGTTTAGTCCCTACTAATTTTACTACATGAATACAAAAAATCACTGTATATTATATCGGTATAAATTATTATTATAATTCATACTAAAGACATAATTGATAAAATAGGATTCACTAAAAGTGTACACAAAGTATATAAAATATTTTTCATATCCTATTCAAAATTATTTAAAAGTAAGCAGCTGTTATTTAACTGTCTAAATAATTAGAGGTAAACAATTACTTAATCACGCAATGAGCTGCTGTTAAAATGACATCTTTTTTTATTAATGAACCCCCGCAGTTCAATACAAGTTTTTTTTCACCGTCTTTCGATAATTCTTCTTTGAATATAGCCACCATTGAAGGAAATTCGCCAAATTGTGATTCACTATCCATTGCATTTCCAATTCTGAAACCAACTCCATATTTATTCCAAACACCACATTTATGGTGTTCCTGATGATCGGATGAAGGTTTATTGGGTTCTGTCGTACCAACATATTCATGAGTAACCGATTTTTCTGTTACCTCATACGAATTATCTGGTTCTTTAGTAAGATATCCTGATTGGCTGCCATATGGCTTCTCGGTGTATTCTTCTTTTGGCCTATCAGATGGCTTTTTAGTATATTCTTCATTATGGCTAACATATGAGCCTTTAGTATTATCTTCTTTATAACCGTCGGATGGCTTCTTAGTATATTCTTCATTATGGTTAGCATAAGGGTCTTTAGTAGAATCTCCTTTTTGACCGTAGTATGGCTTCTCAGTATATTCTTCTTTTGGCCCATCAGATGGCTTTTTAGTATATTCTTCATTATGGCTAACATATGGGCCTTTAGTATTATCTTCTTTATAACCGTCGGATGGCTTCTTAGTATATTCTTCATTATGGTTAGCATAAGGGTCTTTAGTAGAACCTCCTTTTTGACCGTAGTAAGGCTTCTCAGTATATTCTTCTTTTGGCCCATCAGATGGCTTCTTAGTATATTCTTCATTATGGTTAACATATGGATCTTTAGTAGAATCTCCTTTTTGACCGTAGTATGGCTTCTCGGTATATTCTTCTTTTGGCCCATCAGATGGCTTCTTAGTATATTCTTCATTTTGGGTAATATATGGCTTTTTAGTAATATCTATATGATCAATATTTGGTTCTTTGCTATAATCTTCGGGGGAAACACAACCACAGTCACCATCTGTGGTATCTGGACTACTTGGCTTATGATTTTCGGTTGAAGTAATTTTGGTATCATTGCAACACACATCTAAATAACTTTGACACGGAGCTGCGTTAAACCTGAAATGTAAAAATGTTTTAAAAAGATTTTAATAGACTTTTAATTATATTCAAGTGTACTATTTTCATGTCAATAGAAAATTATTATTTTATAGATATAATTTTAGCCTCGAATTTTATACTTGGTCGAAACAACCACAATTGTTGTGTCAATAATCTGTGCGGTCTACATTTAACAGAGATTAAGGCGGCGTAAATTCACGGTTATATCATTTTTCATTGGGAAATAGTGCTGGATCAGTTAGTTACTAATAAAGTAATAAATGATATTTATTTATTTATTTATTAATACGGACAAAAGTCCAATTCACAATATATTTGTAAAGATAACAATAATATAATATAATTTAAAATAGCATGGAATACTAATGGAAAAAAAAATATTATTATTAATACTTATATCATTAGTTATAATTTTATTATTACGAAATAAATAAATGAGCTATTATTTATTATGAGGTAGGTAAACACATTAAGACATTAAGACTATTTAGAATTTTATTATTTTCTATTTATTTGTACATGATTTACTAGAATGGTAATTAGAATTGCAAAGTATGTTTGTTTTCCTACACTTGCATTTATTTGTTTTGCAAAGCAGTGTTCGAGTACATCGATCATCCATTAATATAAGTCTTATAATATTATTACCATTATTATAATTGTTTTAAAATATTCAAAATATAATAAATAGGTAATAATACAATTATAGTTAACATTATATTAATTTTTAATTTTGTTTTTACATCATACATAATTTAGTAATCAATTAATAGAAATAATACAATACTAAAATAATACATCAAATACAAAATTTTACAAAAAAAATAATTTGTTTGTAATCGAGATTCAAATTGCCCAAGTTATAATTGCCTACAGTGTTCCAAAATTCCAGTTACACATTTAATATATATGTTCTAAGAATCTCGAATTTCAATAGACAAGTCAATTATACATTTTTCTGTGTGTATGACTTAATGGGCCATTATTCTCTTGAAATTAAATTTATAAAACTAAAATTAAATATAATCAAATATAATCAACAATATTAGTGTTATATTGTTGAATCAATATTTTATTTATAAACATAATAATGTTGAGAGTAAACTATTTGAAAATAGTACATGTATGAAAAATTCATTTTTATAATAAGCATGTATGAGATAGAGACAATATTGTAAAAATTACTTCCTTAATTATTATAGCAGCTGATTATATAAATAATATAATTTGTATCTTAAAAAAAATGATAAATATATAGTAGATAGGTATACAAGATATTTGAGTAATAATTGGAAAATCTGGTGAGCTAATTAAGTTATAATTACTTTTGTTCATATAAATGTTAAAATGTATTAGGTACTATTATTACTTATTAATTATTACCTACATTGATAATTGACATACCTGTCAGTTTTTACTGGGTATGCAAAATCATACTATACATAGTTTTTTTGAATGCAAATAAATATTATTTATAAAAAATTGTATTGCTTGTATATGTTAATGCATCCTATATGTTCAGTGTAGAATTCAATATTCAAAAACATTTAGGTACACCATTTATTTCCAGAGTGACATACATCGTGTATAATAACTAATAAGTATATCACTAACAAAAACTGTAAATCAACATATTGTTAAAGATAATCTGAAGTATTTATAACATCATAAGTATATTTATAAATATTACAGAGTCGTACTCAGCATAGAACATTATCTACCAGAATGCATTCGATATATATTTTCATAATTCAAAGAAGACAAAAGGAATTTCGAACGTTAGACAAAGAAGTGTAAGAATATTGTTTCATTCAAAAACTAAAATATGATTTATTTAGTGTCTTACCTTATATCTATAAGTTCGTTGCCATCAGGAGCAGCTTTATAGGTTTTGCATTTATGAAAAGGTGTACATATACAATCTTGATAATTGTTTTCATCCTTTAGGGTTGAAGTTTCCAAAATGGTCGTTAACTTTATCTCTGTCGAGGATTGCAATTCAGACGGCAAGAAGCCGACAACTGTGGTTTGTGTAATAGATATTTGTCCTTTCGGCGACGATGAAACAATTCCAGCAAACAAAATCAAACCAATAATATGCATGGTATAATTCTGTAAACCATGGTAAAATCACATTATAGTTGGTTAGTAATAATATGATACCTATCTTAAAAAACTAAATTTATTACCTAAATTGTATTGTAATATTTTAAATATATTTAATTTACAAAACGAGTCATTCTTACTTTAATATATACTATAGTTATTTGTTAATTATTTTTTAATGTGTTTAATGAAACAAAACACTAGGTACCTACTACTATGTTGGTAGGCTATTGAATATTTATATTTTACACATTCGCACAATTTACTTACCATGAATAACATAATTTTTTCAATAAAAAATTAAAAAATATCTTTTATATTTTCTAATAAAGTCACGAAAATAAAATTGTTTACAAAATATCTTCTTTATTTGCCTAATTTAAATAGTATAATTTATATAAATTTGTATTAAAAATCATTTTTATGCACACTCAATCCCTAACCACTTGCTGCAATTTGTGTTTCCGTATCAACAATAAGCTCGGTAGTAATATGATGTGTACATTTTATAATATTTTAAATATTCAATAATAACCTGAAATCCTTGAATCCAGTTTCAAAGTTATAAACAACGTGTTTTTTTTTTTTTAGAATACGAAATTCTCTCTACGTCATGGGTTAATTGATTAATTGCAGGATAATATACACCAGTTTTTTCTCCATCAAACACCCAACTCTTTAAAACATGATTTTTACAATATTATAACAAATAATTATATTCATATTATTCATAACTGTAAAATAGTTAATACAGAGTCTATGTATAGGTACATCACTGGACATGCATTCATCAATGATTTATTGAGGTTTTAAAATGTATTGATATTTCAACTATCAACTATCATAATTTTTAACAAATATTGATAATAATTCAAAAAATAATAACATAATTTGCATGATTGAATTACGTATGATTTGGTACTAGTGTGTTGTAACTTTTAAACTAGTGTATTTTTGTAGTTATAGCATCGATTATAAATGTTACTAGTATTTATAATCAACTAGGTGTTCCCGGACACCCTTTGCTGACTTGCTATGGTCCAGTCTGATATTAAATGAATGCGAAAGTAAATAAATGTGATCTTGTGAACATAGATTCATTAAAATGTGTGTCTAGAAAGTCTGTCACATCATATGAAAATCGATTTAAGTGCAACCTAATCTAGGTAAGAAATCCAACTACGCGGATCGCGGGTAATATGCAAGTACAACATATTAAGTCTAGTGACTGTAAATGCATTTAAAATGTATTATTGCTTTTTATAAAGGTTGCATTTGATACAAAAAAATTACAAAAATCAATTCAAACTTCACTTTTCAGGAGCACTAAAAAAATAAGTTGTCGGTCTCCTGCCACTGCATAATAGTTGTATATTATTATGTTATATTATGCGGACATGCGGTTATAGAGTTATAAGATGTAAACTGAAGGTTTTATCTTTATTTCATGAACACTGAATATTATGTGATAGTTTATTTGAAAATCTGGAGTGGTCACCATACTAATCACTATCGAGAGTGTCGGACATACAAACAATGCTCGTCATTCAGTTGGTATTCTTATATGAAACCAGCCTTGGTGGGTATTAGGTATAATGTGATGAGAGGGGGCCGTTGAAATATCAACCCCTCCTCATGAAATAACTGCACTTTACAAAAGACATGATCATGATCGGTCATGACGTAGTTGCCATTGTCTATTATCGATGCATAATAATATCTGCGTAGATTGTAATTACACTTAGACTGTTGTTTGTACGGTAAGGGGTAGCCGGCAAAATAATAGGGATATCTACTAAACACAACATGCGATGTTTAAAAATTTCAATTTGTTTATTTCATTCGTTCGATATTTATTCGTCAAAATGCATAAGATAAAAATATTCTACTCCAGTAAAAAGTACAAAAATAATAAGACATATTGAAATATTTTAAAATGGTATAATGTATTACGCGAAGGAATTAGCATTGATCTTAAAATGAACTAATAAGCCACACGACTGTTTATTTTAAATCATGAATAATAGTACGTAAAAAAATCGATATAGAACATGGCGTTATTATTGTAGCCGAAAAAAGAAGAATGTTATTTTGTTTTAATAATTATTATAATTTATACCTTAATAATATCTAAATAATTAATACCACTACTCGCCGACGACGGTGGCTTCCTTAAATTATCAAAACCGGTTAGAATTTTAGGCATTTTTGCTTATAATTAAATTTAAAAAAATGTTATCTGCATGTTATTGTACACGATTAGTTAATATAAGAACAATGAATTTAAGTTTCAAACGAATATGTTAATTTTAATAATTATTTTAAATAGTAGTAAATAAGTTACATAGATCCATTTTTATAATTAATTATCTATATACACAAACGTCTAAAATCTTAAAATGCTTCTATAAAATCATATAGCACTAAATATTCAATCCACAATGTGATTGAGGATTCATCAAAACAAATAGAAAACATTTTTATTCAAATATTATATTTTAAAATGATATTTATTATTACTATAATATATTATTATTTTATTATAAAATCAATGGTAGGTAATAGGTGTATTTATATTATTTAAAGAGAAATAACTTTAACGATACTTACCTGCATAATGACTGAAAACCCGAAATCGAATTTACTTATAATAGCGTTTGTATATAGTAGTAGTACACTGGTTTGTAATAAATCCTTCTCTACGGCTGTATACAGGGTGCGCCACCGAAATAGGTCCAAAAATAGAGATATGTCTTATGTCTATAGATTTTTGGCCTTGTTTCCGTGGTCCACCGTGTACATTGCTGTTATAGGTACTCAGTAGTACTGCAAACTGCGTAGACGGGCGTCTACCTTGTTTTTTTTTTTCTTTGATTGATTACCACATCTAAAATGAGAGTTTTTAATCGCCTCCCGAATTACTGCACAAGTCACCAGGAAATCACTGTTGAAATTTCTAAGATATTTATTTGTATATTCAAGATGTAACAAAAGGACCTGATAAATAAAAGAAATATTCTTGTTGAACGTATGAAAAAAAACGAATAGTAAGACATTTAAGATTTACTTATGCCAGAAAAATCTCGTAATCAATATTTAGAAAAATGCTTTTAAGTTTCAAATTAATTTAATCCAAAAAATGTTGATTTTGTAAATATTCTAAAACATAAACTAATTGACTTGAATAAAAGATTTGAACATCAAAATGTTTCTAATAATAAAATTAGATTTACTAATTAGTCATTTTGATTTTATCCAAAGAAAATTTAGTTGAATTTGACATTTATTATTTTTAGTATTAAAAAATAATAATAAACAGTTTTATATTGCACTTGTATCCCAAGCATCTATAAATAAAATTATACAAAAAAATTAATATTGATTAGAACGAAAGTTATTTTATTTGTAAAATATTCTGATACTTTGTATTTATGCACAATTAATTTAGATATATTTATTTTATCCGTTTTGGAATATTTAATACATTTTGTATTATACAATTTTAAATTTATTTTTACAACATAAATGGTATATCAATATTTTATTTTTATGTTAATATAATTTATAAATGAACATAACCGATATATTCTATATTCAATCCCAAATATTTTTAATTCATATACCTATGAATCTAAAAGAAATACCTAATTAAACTCACTCACGACAGTGATACTCAATAATAGCTATAGCTCATAATATGTGCCAAATGAAAATAAATTAATACTTACGAAATTAAAATTAAAATTAATTAGACCAATAGAACGATTACACGAGTAATTGTATTGATCGACGACTCTTGTTTTAGATTTTCTCTCGAATAACTTTATAGTTTAAAACCATCTCATTATAGTATTATACAATAATACTATTAAAACAAAAGAAAAAATTGTATTTACCTTCTGATTTTCTGAAAAAAATATGTATTATTTATTATGTACTATAAAATAGTATTGCGATGTACAACTGGCAGTTGGTAAAAAACAAAATAGAAACGAAAACAATAAATTTTTCTCAATAATACGTAACTCGTTAGTCGTTACTGATAAATTTTAATATTTTGAAGACAATTAAGATATAACCTGTAATAATTATGCGCGACCAATGTGTTAATATTATAGGCACTCGTCAAATATGAAAAAAAAATTATAATCGCCCAAAATAAAATAATAAAATAAATGTATAACTATATGTATAGTATATTTAAATAAATTATAATAGTTGATTACAATTGTTTCTTTGATATCAAGGACCAACTATTGTAACAAAAGTGAATGATAACATTTTGATTTAATTTATATTGTTTTATAATTGTAGATATAGGTACCAAAATTTATGTCGACGTCAGTACGTTATTTGTTTACTATTATTATTGTTATTTATAATATGTTTTCAACATTTTTTGGTCATAAACAATAATAATATGTAGATAAGGGTGATTCACTGATACAATTGACTATTATACTATGATACAATTATACAATATTTTAGAACCATTGATTTTCCCATAGTACATTGGTATTATACGTTTTATCAGGATTCTTCTGTGTTGAGTGGAACATAGATATATTATGTTGGATGGAACCAAGTAACCAACCCATAATTAACTGCTAAAGTTGATTTTTACTTTGTTACATTATTTCATTAAAAAATATATATATTATAATACTTATTCATTCAATGAAATATGAAAATATGTTATTGTAGGTATTGACCGGTATTGACCTGTATTGACCTGTTCGTTCGTCTTTAATAAGGGGCAATATTTAGGCAATGTACGATTTCATCGTTGTCTCCCATGGGCCATGACATTTGTGTTAGAAGTAAACTCGCAATACACTGACATGGTCTTAGAAATCTTCTGATTTCAGTCTCAGTGTTACCCAACCGGTGGTCAACGGTTCCATTGATTTTTTCTTCCACTTCTATCTTATTTTTTTTCTTTAAAAAAAAATATTTGTGAGATAATTATGACACATCGAGAAACCGTATCGTTAGTATCCAATGTCTTTTTCACGTTTATTATTTTATTAATGTTAATTAAAGTAATGAATAATATTATTATCGTCGTTACTGCAAACTTGATTGCAAACATCGTTTCTTGTATATTTATTTATACCGATTAATAATGGCTTATGGATATTGTATGACTAAATTTAGTTTGTTTAGTCGTTTGATATTAATTCAGCATGCGCTCTCTATTCATTTTATTATCACGCAATTCGTTTTTCAAAATTCATCCGAGAATATTGAAAAACTGGTAAATGAAACTCAATCACAAAAATTATGTTAACACCATCAAGTAAATAATTTAGTTTAGTATTAAGTATAATAATAAAATAATAAAACGTAAAGTAAAGTAATAAAAATAGTTTTACATTTCTATTTCAATTGGTTTTGTGTATTCTTGTTAATGACATTTTTTTGCTCATTATTATTATTGAAAGAAAAGTCTTCCTATTTCTGTTAAAACTAAAGTGATCTGCAACCTAT